GAACCCACCGGACCTCTTCAACGACAACAACGATCGAGCACCTCCGGCCGACCACGAGCTCCACCAACTCCACATGAACTTCCTCAAGACCCTTGTCAACGTCCAGAGCGACCACAGCCACGACCTCATGCACGACCGGAGCGGAGCCCCAGACCAACAACAACCGGCTCGGAGTCTGAAACAAGTTGGCCAAGTGAGAACGACTCCACCGCCATGATGCAATCCCACAACAGCCAGCTCACGCCCGCGAGATCTGCTCGAGAAGATGAACAACAAGGTGGCGAGCAGGCAGACACACCGGGGGCAGCCTCGTCTACAGACGCTTTCGGCCTGCCTCCTGAAGCTGACCAACCCCAAATCCTGGACAGCCTTGAGGCCGTGCTCCATTCACTACTTCAACAAAGTTTTCTTCAACCACGTGAGGACGTTACCACCTTGGCATACAAGGCGTGCGCCAGGCTTCACCGTCTTCGGCAACTTCTCACAGCGTCAACGAGACCTTCGACCACTATGCCGAACACCATGCAAGAACCGTGCCACAACCCTCTTGCAGAAGTACAAGTACACCTTCGGCAGTTCCTGCACAACCTTGATACTCTACCCCTACGAGCACAACGGCGACACGCTGACCGGCTCCGCGAAATCCTGGACAAGATCAAAGAGGACCTGAAGCGAGCCCGGGGTAATTACCCCGAAGCAGCCTGGACCCCAACCGAAGCAGGTCTCAAAAACTCAATGGCGCAAGCCACCTTTCTCGACTTGGCCATCGAAGAAGGGGGCATGGCTACAATCCAAGAGGCGGCGGAAACCCTGTTGGCAACGATTGACCGCACCGCCTCCTACATGGACCAGTGTATCGCCCAACCACTGCCACCTCCATCTTCGCTTCCTCCGCGAGTTCGAGATCCACCTGCACTACCTGCGCCACCAGGACTACCTGCCGGAGAAGATCCAGCCCAACGACGTCATATAGGGGAATCCACCCCTTATCAGGTATTGCGTGCACAGCAAATCATCGAGCAGGTCATGCCATTCCTCGAGCAAGAGACCGCAGTTGCTCTGGCGGAAGCTCACCACTTATTGTTCTCGTGGACAGCTGCACTATGGGGTTCTCCCATTTACCTCGTCGACCACAACATTGAGGAGACGGTGGAACCCAATGCTGCCAGGAACAACACCAACAATGATGAAGCGCAGGCTGAGGGGTCGGCTTCGGACGCGCCAACGCAAGCTTTCAGGTCTCGCAGTCCGAGACCACGTGCGCCACCTAGAGGAGGACCACCAGCCTTGGCGCGAGCATCGTCCCACCGACGCCGACGACTACATGCTGCCTTCTATGGCACTCCTGAAAGTGATCACGAAGCTGAAGATGCACAGGACTGTGGGCCTCCGCCTGATTAGGGAAAACCCCTAGAGCCAAGAATTTTGGTACAAGAAATCACCTGGCATACTGTGATCTTTCAAAGTTTGTTGTTTTCCCGTGTGTTCCTTGTTGCTGCCCGTGTCGAGCCAGGTCAGTAGAGTCTTCCACAAGCTTACAAGCAACCCTGCGTATGGTCTTGAGTAGTTAACATGTCATGCTCTTTTCCACCTTGTTGCTGTGAGCGAGCCAAGCCCGAGAAGAACCAACTCGTGGAAACAGGGGGACGCCCCTCGTGCATCCAAGGTTCAGTCGACTGCTTAGCCACCTCTTTTCTAGATTCCTATTTCTGTTCTGGAAGTTATACTTTCCGGTGATGGCTAAGTAAACGCGAACCTTCTCGAGAACAACAGCCGCAATGAACTCCGCTGCCACGAGAGCAACTCTTGCTCTCAAAGCCTGGAGCCTTGTGATATCTTACTTAGTTCTTCCATTGTGTTCCTGTTCAGAGCCTGTTCATTTGTTGCTGACCTCGTCCAACCAGGCAAGTAGTAACTAGTTGTAGTCCAATTTTTGCTGCGTGCAAGCATTCCTTACAAGTGCCACGTCTCACCGGTTTTTTGCTCGCGACCAAAGGGAAAACCTACGGAAGCTCACACTTGAACAACAGGGGAGCACCTCTTTGCCTCCATAGCAGCCCTTGAAGGCACAACAACGCCTTCCGCTGCTAGCCCTGGCGTCCTGTGATCTCTTCACCTGTCTGTTTCTGTTCTGAGTCAGTTCTTTTGTTGCTACCCTTGTTGAGCCAGGCAAGTCTAAGCCTTTCAATCCCTAAAGGAAGCAGTGCTGCACGTGTGCATTTTTCAGGTTTTACTAGTTGCCCGTAACTCTGTGCTTTTTAGCAGCTACTTCTTGCTTGGCCAGTCAGCACAAACCCCAGCAAGCTTCCCCTGAAGCATACTCACGGCAAGTTTCACAGAGTCTTTCTTTGATAAGGGGGACGCCCCTGGACGACAGGATGTGCTGGAACCTACCCGTCTTGCTCTGACCCAAGTCCTTTTGTTGTTATCATGTTCTTTCTAAACCGATTCCAGAAGCACACCGACGTCGATCCTAGCCATAAATCCAATTCGATTGCCCGAAGTCACAGGGGAATGCCCCTCTTCCCACAGTCTCTTTCCTAATCACTGTCATCCTCTACATTTCTGTTACCCGCCCTGTACTTGTTGTTTGTTTCGAATTGCAGTCGCTGAGGGAAGCTGCGCTTAACTACAGCGTGCAGTGCCGAGGGCATGTGATTGCAACTTACTCACCCCCCACCAGTCGGGGGCGCTGACGCGCGCGGTGTAGAGGGAAACCTCTACACCATAGCCCTGGCGAAAGAAAGAAAGAGAGAGAGTAAAGCCCTCATCTGGCACGTGAGTCTCACACAGACAAGAGACAAGACCAGTGCGCGGTCACGCGCGGGTGCAGCGCATGCTGCACTTTGGCTGTGTGCAAGCAAGTAAAGCCAAGCCCCTTCTGGGGACATCTCCGGGGGGAACAACGGTCGGAGATCCTGCTGGAGGAGCTCGACCTTTTCAACTATGCCCACGCGTCGGATGTACAAGCCCTTGCAGAAGGGGCAGAGGAATGACCAACACCGCGGCAGGGGACCGTGGAAGAGAAGGTCAGGGCGGTTCTGCGAGATGTCAGGGGAGTGCTACCTTTTCACACCAGAGGGCACCAAGAAGTGAGGAAGATGGTAGGCTATGTGACAGCCACTTTTGAGCAGCTGGTGTATGTGGACACGCAATCCACTGAAGCCGGGGATCCACCTCCCCTCTTCCAGCCAGTGGGGGAGACAACCGCGCCATGGCAGCCAACGATGGGAGCCGCGCAATGGTCGGGTAGCATCCCCACCTCGGAGGACGAGAGAGATGGGCCCACGCCGCCGGACGAGCTGAAGGGGAGCCCATGCACCCATGATGACCTACTAGCTGCGATGGAGGAAGCGGAAAGACAGGCAGAGGCGGACGCTCGAGCAGAAATCGCGCAGTCAACAGCAGTGGGGGGCACAGCCCTGGATGGCGATGACGAGTCGGAGCCGGATGCACCACAACCTGAACTGAGTCGGGGGAGCAGCCACCGTAGGCGTCGTATGCATGCAGCAGTGTACGACGACGACGGCAACCCCGAACCTTGATGGGTTTTATCTGGGGTGAAGCACACTGCAGTGGGGCCCTGTACCCAGTCAGCCTGAATGCCAGGGGGAGCCGTTGCAATGCCGTGGTGGTCGACACCAGCAACCCTGGAAAACCCGACTTGTACTGAGTGTGTAGGGTGTCATGCTGCTGTTGCTTTCTTCCAGGGGAGCCGAAACCCGAAGTAGTGGCACAGTCCCCAAAACAATCATAGCAGCAGTGGTTTGTCGGCCGGAGCCTCAGTAGTCTGGCTGTGCTTCAGTGTGTCGTGTAGTGGTGAGAGTGTCCTGTCGCCAGCTTCGGGGACACGGTTAGTAGTGGCCAAGCTTGCAATGGGGGCGAAAGAGCCTACCAGAGCTTTTGAGCTGTGGCCCAGCACAGAACTGATCCCATGGGATGAGGCGCGAGGCAAGGGGTTAATAACTTTGAGTTCAGGTTTAGGGTTGGGGGATATGACAGTCCCAGCCGGTGCCTCGTTCCTACATGGGGGGAGTCTCACCAAACTAGACTGAGACCAGTGCGCGCCCGCGCGCGGAGAGGGGTGTCCGCCCTTCTCTTGGCTGTGTGCAAGCAAGAGAGAGAGAGCGAGAGTCCCCACAACTTGCGCTCTACTATGGACTGCTTCGGGGTGGTATTTCGGCATAGTTGACACTGGGGGGCAATTCCACCGGCACTTTTTCACTCTTTTCAGCAGCCTAGAACAGCTGCATGGGGGACGTTCCGTTCAGATCCCAATGAGAGCCCCGATGAGTGCCACAGGGGCGCGGAGACGAGGCCCGTTGGGGGTCCCTAGTGTAAAAGGGGGGGTCGGGGCTCTCGGTGTGACACCTGGAACTTTTTCCTTTGCATTGAGACCCTAGAAGCCGTCCACTCACTAGCACAGTGTGAGGGACGGGCGGGCGTAAAGCATGAGGGTCGGGCCGACCGACCCCTAAGCCCGGCAGAAAGAAAGAAAGAGCGAGAGTCCGAGTGCAAGCAAGAGAGCGAGAGAATGCGCCCCCAAGCTGCTAAGCAAGCAAGCACCAAAAGCAGAAGAGGAGCACAGAAGGACAACAAGAATGAGCGGGAGACGTTTGTTTGAGCTTCTCAAGTGCAGGTCCTGACTCAGAGCAACTGGCACTGGGAAGCAGAGGGGGGGGCCTTTCGCAATGTCTAACGACCAGGATCGTGGGTCGCGTGGGTAGAGGAAAGTAAGGTAGGGAGGAGAGAGAGCAAGCTGAGAAAGAGTCCAAACTAGTCAAGCCAGCAGTACAACATAGACTTGCAAGAACTTGCAAGTGTTTTGCTCAAGCAAACTACGACCATTAAGTAACTTTATGGAGGCGTTCCGCCGCACATATTGCGCTAGGCACACAATGCTTGCGCATCCCCGAACCCGAGCAAGCTCGAACTTGGATCGAGTTGCCACATTGTGGATCTGCTGACCTGAAGACCGATGCATCATGTGTATGAGACAGGCCGAGCAAAATGCCTGCATCTGAGTTGCATGTCGTGTGCACGTCCATGCTTGAACCGCGGTCGTGTGTTATAGGACGATCGGGAAAGCACCGTGCAGCTTCCGAGTTCGTTTGTGACATGCTTAGGCTCCGCCTCTAACCCCGCCGGTGATGCAAGACATCGTGAAGGGCCTCGCAGGGCTGCCCGGAAATGGCATCCATTAAAGCAGACGGAGCGAGATACACCGTGATACGCGACGTTCAATGCCATCTCGAGGTTGCAATGAGTTGGGGCGTGCAACGCCACCAATTCGCACAGAGCCGGAGTAGGCGGTGCAACCGTGTCATGTGCAACCCCAATGTGTCTCAGAGTTCCAGACTTTGAACAGTGTGAAGATGAAGGGACGGATACCCACCAGCCAGGAGCCTGTCTATCGATGACTGGTCCGAGATCATGGCCGAGCTGGTCAAGTGCTCTGTAATTGTCCGGTTCGGCCTATGGCAAATCACGTGCGTGGCGCGATGGGTTGCAAGACTGCTGCTTCACACTTCTTGTTTGCAGGTACTGTGAATCGCACAGTATCATTGGACAGGCAGGTCGAGAATGGCATATCTCCTTGCGTTGTTGTCAGATCGAGAAAAGCTCGTGTTGAATGTACTGGTAGCAGCTTCGCTTGTCCGACCTTTCGCGACTGTTTTAGTCGATCGGCACGGCCTCGTCTCAAGGCGGCTGCGTCATCAAGCTCCCGTCGGAACACACTGACACTGACCCCGGCCGCACTTCTACCTGGCTGGGCGGATAACGCCTTATTCCACGTGCATCTCGGAAGTCGCAGAATCTTTGTTCTTTCAGTCACAGAAATCGCTCCCCCAGGCAAGCATCGCATGTAAAACCCGTAGCAACTGTAGCAGACATTGCGCAACGACAGACACTTAAGGAGATAACAATGAGGCCAGGTCTGCACTGGCGACTCATGTGTGATGGATTCCTGAGCTCTTGTCCTGCGATGCAACTTCATGATTTCGAGTTGGATGCTCTGAGGCTTTTCCGAGCTCAGCAGCAGCCCATTCCTCGCAATTCGCCCGAGAGATTGGTGCGGCTGTCCTCGCTGCTCACTTTGCTCAGATTGTCAAGGCGTCACAGGAATGTCCCGCCCGATCCGGAGTTCCTTGCTTGGTCAGTCCGGTTACTCGACGTGCACCAACGTGCTGGGAACGTGGAGGAGAGCTTGTTGGCTGACGTGGTTAACGAGCTCGTTCCGCTGCTTCCAGAAAAGGAGAGAGCCAAGCTTACACGAGTAATCATGGCAAGATCGCGAAGCACAGTCTCAGAAGCCGAGCCCAGCCAGAAAGTTCTAGCTCCTGTGCAGGGGCAGGGGCAGCCAGCCCCTCGCTTGCTACAGAGAAGCGAAGAGGAGGCTTCTTCAGTGAAGGTAGTGCTGGCACCGCAACCAGCGACCGCGACCCTCAGCCTCGGGGCCGAGCCGCCCCAGCCTTTGAAGGCGGCAAACGTCGTCGCTACCGACCTGGCTCCCGGTGCACACCGGCTCTGGGCTTTGCTCGCCAAAGCCGCCAAGCGGGCCGAGCGGGCCGAGCTGGAGGCGAGCACGGGAAGCGCAGGCACGCTGAGCGGCGGCACGCTGCAGAGCGCAGAGGTCGACGAGGCGCCGCCCAGCTCTCTCTTACATTCAGATCCGTGCTTGCAGACAGCTCAGGACTTTGTTTTGTTTTGCTGCGGCCATCAAGTAAAGATGCGAGGTCTTTGCAGGACCTGTTGACTGTAAGTCACTAGGATCTGAACGCGGCCATTGATAAGGTATAACGGGTACTTGCACTTGCTGTGATTTTATGAACCCCTGGCCCGAGGCATCCAGCAAAGCGCAAGAGTCTCAGCAGTCGGACGTTCGCGCGCCGCAAGTCTCGACAGCCACAGCGAAGGTGGAGGATCCTTTCAACTGGTCCTTGTTGAGACATTTCATGTCTGATGGTGGCGCTTCGGTCCAGGAGCTGCAGCGAATGTTGCAGAGCGCCTTGCTGCGAGTTGAGGCTTCGCGAGCATTCTGTGTTTGCCCCGTGCTTTCGCTCAGCCGCAGGCACTGGAGTCCAAGCTTGCGGATCAGGAGCGCGACCCCGCGAAGGCCAGTGCCAAGTATTGCACAAGTGACCTATCTGGGGCCGTACACTGCTGCATGCTTCTTTCCTTAATGTCGCTTCCTATTCATCACAAAACGCACGATGTCTTCTAAGTTAGTTTAACATGGCACGTGCGCCGATCCGGTATGTGCAGAGTGGCCTTCAGGCGAAAGATGCCTGCGAGGAGTCCGGAGCACAGTTCAGCTGATTTAAGCTTTATGATTTTTCTTAAGTTCGGCACAGCCCGCCAGCGAGTTCCATGCCGAGGCCCTCTGATGACTCCACCCACAGGATCTGTGGCCAAAGCCAAAGCCATTGCCTTGGCGAGACCTGTTGCATGCCCATGAAGATGCCGAAGCCGAAGCGTTGCAGTCAGGCGACGGATGGCTCACGCAAATTCTCGAACGTGCGGCCGTCAGACAGTTGGTGAAGGGTGTGATATGTGGTAGGATGCACGTGTGCCTGCTCAGCCGTCGCGGAGCAAATCCAGCCATCGTCCGCTGCGGCAACCCTGCACTTGCCGTGATCTCAAAAGCCCTGATGACGAGCAGCGAGCAAAAATGCATGGGAACAAGATCTTGTTGTAAGGCACACACATACAGTGTCCGAGTTATTTCTCTCTTCGGAGCATGATGATATCGGATAGAGCCGCATGCTGAATCAGTGAGAGCTGCGTGTTGGGAGCTTGGATAGCGTCAGAAGCTGGCATAGATCATTAATCCAAGCTGATCCACCCGGACCCAGTGAAGTGTGGGTTAGAGCTCTGGCGGCCGAGGCGACGTGCTTTCAACTTCGAGCAGTTCCGTCGGGCTCACTCCGCAAGGCCTCGTTTGCCTCTGCACGGCGCCCCGCGGGGCCCCGCGGCTCAGTGCCCTGCAGGCTGGACACCGAGCGCATGCGCGTCATTGTCCCTCCCGACCACTTCCCGCTGCCAGGGACTTGGCGGGGAGACAGTTCGCACATCTGAACCTCCACCCTTAAGTGTGATCGCGAAGCGGTTCACGCCAAAGCCGAAGCAGAGCAGAAGTACAGTCGGCTTCCATGCAAGAATGGATATGTCCGAGACCCACACGGACCCGTAAGCAGCATGCAGCAGCTGATGTACACCTCAAGGCCTGGTGCTTCCGAGCCAGAGCCCTTGGGCTATTGGTGTGGGTGTGAGCATTCCTGCGGCCAAGGTGGCCTATCATGAAGAAGTAGACAGCACGACTGCTGATCTGGGGCGCAGCGAGAGTTGGGCTCTGTTTCTCAAATTTGCGGGCCAAGCTGACAAGCCGCAACACCAGCTGATGTTCGATACGACCACGCCAGCGAGTGGTGACATTTATATGTTCAGGTGCTGCAGGACAGCCCATGGGTCAAACATCGAAACATCTGCACTAGGAATGTTGTGCCAGTGTAATGCTGCGCAGCACAAGGACAGCCCAACTGCCTGCACGAAACTCCATAGTCATGCTCTGCGTAGTTGACTAATGTTACAAGCAGCTGGGCTGTCTTGCTTCCAAGTTACAGCTTTTTTGAAAGCAGAGAGCATACCTGACCAAGGATGCGCGTACACTTTTGCAACTTGTGCAAAATCTGTCACATCCGGAGCAGTGGCTCGCTTGAGCAATTGGCACGGACAGTTCCAGGCACTGGCATTCTGAGCAACGTGGTGGCCATGCCGGAAGCATTGGCAAGACCGCCGTAAATACTAGTATCTTGCTCTCTTGCTTGTTCTAATCCGGGCTGTGCAGTCAGCGCAGCAATGCCTCTGATTTGTCGCTCCTTGCAGGATGTGGAGCTAGGCTTTTGGGCCGGTAATGCCTGAACCTGCTCATAAGCTCACATGCGAGCAACATGTCAGGCAGTCTTATGGACCGTATGTCTTAAGCGGAATCAGACCATGTCGGACCCATGAGCTGACCGTAGCAGAAAGTAAAGCCGCACTGCCGAACTTACTGCTGACCTCTGCCCACACCATGGGGGGCACCAAGAGCAAAGCGCAAGGCAAAGATGGCCGGGGCCCCTTCTTCGGCTACGACAGAGTTCTGCGATTTGCGTGAAGTCTCGGGGGAAGAAGGCATGGAGTCATGGAGGCTTCGAGAACTCTCTTCCCGGGTTTCAAACAGCGCGAGCTTGGCTAAGATAGACCGAGGATACAGCGACATTGGTGGCGAGGTTATCCGGATTTCAGTTTGGTGCTTAGCACTGCAATGCAGCCCTAAATAGCATGATGTTTCACCGAGCACTCATGAGAATGTTCACCCGCTTCGCTTTGAAGTATGGTTTTTTCAGGAGCACATGGGCAAGATCCCGGTGTCCGGAAGGCCCTAATCGGGATGCATCGCACTTGTCACCGGTTTCGGGGTCATGGGAAGCTGTTGCTGCAAGCCAGGTATCATCGCAAGCCTCGCAGAATCGGGGACGACTACAAGGTCTTGACAGCTGCACACATATGGTCACGTTGCCATACAAACTTGGTAACTTGGTGTGTCCCGTTGACCACTGGTTGAACTGGCAGATTCACGAGACCGTTCTTGGCAGTGGCTACAATGGTGTGAGCACCTCAGGATTTCACGTGAGCACAACACCTCAGGTCACAGCAACCCGTAAATCCAACACAGCCGTTGGAAGCCGTCGGGATGTGGACAGACGAATTGCCCGGGGAGCATGTTGTCGTGGGGCAAGCGAGTTTTCTCCGTGGTTTCTATATCGGAGCTTACCAGGAGCAAAGCGCTCTTCTGTAACACCGGTACTGAACATACTCAGGTTGTGAACATGGCAACGAGTATTGGCCTCGACGATGACCAGAAGTTCGCTGTCAAGGCAAGCTTCGTGCCGAGAGCTCTGTCTCGTGCAACGTAAGAGTCGAAGTTGTGCAAAGTTGCAGATTGACACGGTAGGCGACTGCATTTTGCGAACTGGCATTCTGGCTGTAGCCTGTGCGCTCGACCCTGCCCTGCTGCCAGGCATTTAAGATTGGCAAGCTGAAGCGCGACAAGAAGGCCTTGGAATTTCGTGCAGTCGCCTAACTCTGCCCTTGCGCACTGAGAGGCGCAGTTGGAGTCTGAAGTAGGGATCTACCTCTGCATGGCGGTGGCCTCAGCGTCCGCCAGCCGTCAAGCCGCGACTAGCGGCAACTACCAGTAGCTGATGCGGTCGGAACGGTCAGGACCATCCTCACATCACGAGACTTTTCGATGTCTATGAAGCTGATGACTACTTGTACCTGGTGATGGAGTGCATGGAGGCCCGACTTTCCACGAACTGGCAGATTGCGTACATGCCAATTCGTTGGCACTTGTTCGTTCGAAGGGTGGGGAGCTTTTCGACCGAGTCACGACGCTGAAGAAATTTGGTGAGCGTGATGCGCGGCAGCCCAGTGCAAGCTCGACATTTGAAGGAAGTCTCCACAAGAGCCTCTGTCGTTATCATCATCGCGGCAGTGTAGATACAACATGATACAACCGAACGGTATCTGAAACTCGCACGTGATGTCGCATGTCCGTCTTTTAACCCCGCGCGAAGCACTGTGCGGATCCTCCGGCATCCGACTTAGGCGGCCGATGCTGTGTCCCAGATGCTGCTGGCGTTGAACTACATTCATAGCCACGGCCGGGAGATTGCTTCGCTGTTTGTGGCATCCCAAGTCTGTATTTATCTCAGTACACTGAAGCATGGTCTGTCTGGTCTTGCTTGCCACGATGTGCAAAGGTTTTCCTTTCTGACCAACCATGATATGCACTTAATTTGTTGATTATATTTATACTACTATGCTGCACCACAGCTTATCATGGTGCTATGCTATGCTGTATCACTCAGTGAAGTGTCGTGATGCTAGATGTCTTTGGCACTCCATAGTGAAATAGTGCTCTACTTAGACCCTGTATCTGCGAATGCTGTGGCTGTACTGTGGTGTGATGTACAGCAGACACTTGTGTTCTACAGATACACACAATGCCAATGCATGTCTCAACAGAACACTGATTGTGTTGCGCTCTACGAGTTCCGTGGTGTCACATATCTGCTTTCTTTTGGCAGCCTCCGTCCGCTGAAAAGGATAGGCTAGGTAGCTCGGAGGCTTTCGCTGGACAGTTCCTAGAGGCATGTTTGCATGTGTACAGATGTGATATACATGCATACCGTTTACTATGAGATACTACAGCAACAGTGTGATAGCATGCAGAATCCAGTACGCAATCTTACGAGGTTTGCACCGTGGGGGCAGACGATGTGACAAACGGCGTTTGGGCTCTTCTTGAGACATGGAAGCACCGGAGAGGCATCGTCCATCGAGATCTTAAGTTGGAGAACTTTCTGCCACTTGGCTTGCAGGTGTCTGGGTTTGCCAGTTCAGGAAGCTAGTGTTGGCATGCTCGCTCAGGTATGAGTCAAAGACGAGCAACCACCTCAAGCTGATCGATTTCGGATTCAGCAAAGTGCTGCTGGGCTGCAGAGGATTCCACAGACGATGGCTCAGTGGTTGGAAGTTGATGCTGGACACAGAGGGCTCGAGTTCTGAGGTGGGACCCGAACATCAAGATGCATGTGAGCTGCGGCACCCTTGCGTACGTTGCGCCGGAGGCCAGGAGCCGGTCGGAGGGGGTCGTAGCCCAGTCGTCCAACATAAACCACCTTTTGCTCCAGGTACTCAAGAAAGATTACACCAGTCAATGCGATATTTGGAGCCTGGGTGTCACATCCTCGGATGGCTAGTCCCCCGTGCAAGTTGCATTGTGCAGCCATGCGATGACATTCTTGAATCTTTGCAGCAGGGCAACTTGTGATGGCCCACCGAGGTCATCACATTCGTCCTGCTGTCTGGCTACATGCCCTTTTCGGGCTCGGAGTCCGCCTTCGGCCTAAAGCCAGGGCTTGCTGCAGCCGAGCTGATGTGTGCGACTCTGGTCAGAGTCATGCAGACGTGGCAAAGGTTCAAACAAAGAATATCGCCTCGGGGCATGCCTGTCCTGATTTGCAAACGGCAGACATCTGGCTGCAGCATGCCGCATTTTGGTCAACATTCTGGCCAGGAATTACATTCTGAAGCCAGAACGATGGAGTAGTGTTTCCATCGAAGGGCGACAGCGGGGACCCCAGAAGTCGCACAAGAAGCGTCTATCCACTTCGGCAGAAAATCGCCGCCTTGCTTCAGCAACCGCGGACCGATTCTTCCTTCGCTGAACTTTGGAATCTAGCACCGGGGTGGGAGCACAATCATCTCGACGGTGGGTGAAGGAACAGGCCAGCAAGGTGTAATCTCGTATCGTAAATATCTTGAAGCCACCGTGCGAGCCTGAGCCTAAGTGGGGTCAAGCTTTATCCCGCCGGACAGAGAACAGGAGGCCTAGGAATGACCACTGACTGGTATAGTTTTCCAGGATGTTAGGCGTCTGTGTTGCCGTTCTGCTCCTTTTCGATTGTGAGTGTATGTTTGTTTAAGTCTAAGTGGATTTAAAGCTTGCCTTCATTGCGCTTCGAGTGTTGAAGTGGACAGACACTCAACAGCAGCAAAACAGATGAAAGGCGTTTCTGCCCTCTGTTCAATTGTCTGAGAAGTTGACCAGTTCCAAAATGCAATGCAGCTTATGCGGGGCATCCGTTGCCTTAGACGTTTGTTGCCAACTCGAAACCGCCAAGGTTTGTCAAGGGAGTCCTCGAGGCAAGTTCCGGCAGCTCGCGATGCATGTAAGAGTGTTCAGAGTTTTGTTGAAGTGCCGAAGATTGACAGCGTCTCCTTCCAACAGTCAATAAATTGGTCTGATGTATGCAGACTGATGGTTCTGATCACATTCGGAGCAGTATGCTGTTGACTGGTGACGCAAGGTATAGGGATAATGGTGCGTGACTGTGCCGTGCCGTGCTGCTGTTTGCAGGTCAACCCGCAGAAGCGGATGAATGCAGCGACTGCACTGCAACACCCTTGGATCAAGAACAGGCCCCTTGGGTTGTGTAACACTGATGCTTCCTGCGCATGGCTTTCTGTCATGTTGGTGGCAAGAAGCACTGGACACCGTGATCAAGCGCGTCCAGTTAGTTAGTTGCATTCCGGCACCTTGTTCCTGCGCCTGGCAGGCATGACTTGGTCCCATGGAAAGACGTCGACGATTCAGTTGCCAGCCAAACACGATTGAATCCTTCAATTCTGGTGATGTTTCCGGCAGTGCTTTCTTCGGCCAGGTCGAGGCCCTTCGCAAGTTCGGCCACGCCTCCAAGCC